AAAACATTTTGATGTTGATGTCAGTAGTTATAGTTTAAATATATTTCTTTCATACTGTATTAGAAGGTAGTAAGGCTATTAGCGAGATTATCACTATTTTAATACTTTGTCGCCACCTCGTGATAAAGTTATGACACTACAGAGAAAAGTGATGCGTTTGGGGGCAGTTCAGCCGGATTAGGACTAAACATTTGCTGCTAACCAAAACTAAATTCACACCTTAGTCCTAACTCTAACCCCTGACCCTAAAACAAGGTTTCCCCTTGTGGGGACCGAAGCCTGGTCCTGGTCCCACAAGGAGCAATTGGTCCCCACAACGTAGTAAGTGTCAGGAAAATTTGATAAAGGGCAGATTTATGGTGTGAATGCATAATAATCATCCTATGAACAAATTCTCCCACCTGAATTTTGGATCTCAGCTCTTGAAGTTATCCCTGGACTGCCTTACTTTCTTGCCTGGCCTGTCAGCTAAGGTAGATGGAAAAGTTTTAGAAAACAAATTTCCTTTTTTTCACCATGTGTTCTTTTCTTTCCACTTCACAATTACGCACTACTTTGTGTTGGTCTGTTACATTAAACCCCATTAAAATTCATTATAATTTGTAATGGCTGTAATGTTCCAAATTGTGAAAAAGACACTGCATTTTGTGTGTGTGTGTGTGTGTGTGTGTGTGTGTGTGTGTGTGTGCGCGCGTGTGTGTGTGTGTGTGTGTGTGAAACCTTCGGGCATGTTGACATGGTTCTTATATGAACCTGAACTTGTTCGTTATGTAACTAGGTGAGCCTCTGCCTCATACCTGTGTGCTGTCCAGAGCAGGTACTTCAGGTGTGCTCCAAGTGGAAAATGTTAACCATTGACCAGGCCGCCACACCCATGAGACAAACAAACTCTGTAGCTGTGTGAGAGCTACTATTAACTATTACTATCATTACATAAATACAGACTCGCTCATAAAGGGTTGCCAAACACAAGCCAGCTGTTTAATGTTGCTATAGTAACTAATTGTTGGTTGACCTGTGAATTGTGATTTTAAGATTAGGCCGATGCAGAGAGTCGGGAGGGGGAGGGTTTTGGTTTATGAGTAACTGTGCTCCCTGTGTCACGGTTTGCTCTTCAGTGCAGTCATTCCATCTCATAAAGCAGGAATCACCTGTCAGAGACGACAAAACTAGCTGCTTCAGCTGAGGAGGGTGAGTACAAATAATCTGCTATTTAAGCTAAAAGTTCAAAGTGTGTCTAGAAATGTGAAGCTATATGGCTGGGTTAATTGGTGAGAGTCGGTTCCAGACATAATGGGGCCTATCTGCAGTACTTCTGGCTTTTTTCTGGTCTGTCATGGGGAAGCTAGAGATGACCCAAATAGCAAAAGCTTCCATATGTCTACGTTTCAGCCCTTACCTTTGGTCATGGGATATGAATCATGGTCCAAAAGGGCAATAGGGAGAACAAGGAGGGCCAAAAGAAGTCTTTTTGGGTCTTTGATTATTCCAGGCATGTCCCACTGGTAGGAGATCTCAAGGCAGACCCACTATAAATCTCTTCTGAAGATGTTTGGATCCTTCAGAATGAGCTGACACTTGTCAATGGAGAAGTGTCTCCTAGACATGCTAGCTGACCTGATCTCAGGTGGATCGGTGGATATATAACCTACAGATTGATAGAATGAGTAGAAATGAAACAGAATCATTACTCCCACCACAGGGATAATCAATCCACAAAGAACAGTCAAAGAGAAATGAGGAAGCAGTCTGGTACACGTTGAAAGGGAACCACTACACGGCTAATCTTTCAAAAGTGAAACTTTTGAAAGACTAAGAGTCCACTTTTGGTTTAAGCATGTAAACCAACAGTGAACCCTGGAAAAAAACAACAGTGGAGCAAAAACAAGGTGGTGACAGTATCATAAATTGTGTCTATTTGCTTCCATTAGGGCAAGCTTTCTTGACCTCTCTGAACATTTTACTTGCAACTGACATCACTAGAGCCCTCATGTACTTGACAATGGGTTGAAACTTGTCCAAAACCACAAGTTTGCGACGGATAGATGGAGGTTTTTGCTAGAACATTACTGAGCATCTCATAGATCTGTGGTACTAGGTTACATTCCCCAGCAAAAACAATAAAGCCAGTCTGTTTTAAGACTTTGAAGCTTTTTGTGTGAAGTATAGATTATTTATTGGGTTCGTCATGTGGATGCACTGGTGTTATGTCAGGATTATTATTATAGGAATACAGCCTCAGTAAAGACTGGGTGTGCCTGGTAGAATAACCCACAATAACAAACATTCCAAGGACACTCATTATTGTTGCATGTGTGAAAACCTGAACGACAGGAAAGACATGTGTAACTTTGGCGTATTTGCATATTCATCCAAAGCTAACGGTGAATGATATATTTTTTTAACTGCTGCCTCTTCCATCCGTTTTTTTTTTTTTTAATGAAACCGTCTCATTTCTTGTCCAACAGATAAAGCGACACATAAGCTAAAATGCTCCCAGAGAAGCAGCTCCAGTGCAGCATCTGTCTGCAGGTGTTTACTGACCCAGTGACCACTCCCTGTGGGCACAACTTCTGTCTAGTCTGCATCGGGCTGGTGTGGGACAGCAGTGACGTCTGCCAGTGCCCCACCTGCAACAAGACTTTCGCCTCCAGGCCTGACATAAGCATCAACACGGCCTTCAAAGAGCTGGCAGACACTTTAAGGCAAATTATCGTCTGCTCCTCGGCTTCACCTCTGTCTGCAGCCCAGCCGGGCGAAGTCGTGTGTGACGTGTGTGCCGCCACCTCCCTGCAGGTGAGGGCCCACAAGTCGTGCCTGGTGTGTCTGACGTCGTACTGCGAGGCCCACCTGGAGCCACACCGGACCGTGGCCACGCTGAAGCTGCACAAGCTGATGGAGCCGGTGAAGAACCTGCAGGACAGGATGTGCAAGAAGCACGAGCGGCTGCTGGAGATGTTCTGCAGGATGGAGCAGATGTGCGTCTGCCAGTTCTGCACCGAGACGGAGCACAAAGACCACCCGGCGGTGACAATGGAGGACGAGAGCAAGGAGAGGAAGGTATCAGGAGACGGGGATTATAAAAAGCTGCAGGCAATAAGAACTTATGAAGGCCAGAAGTGATGATGGGATCGTAATGTTCTTACAAGTGTTATGCATGAAATTACCCAAACTGAACATAGCGCATGAAGTAGTCTGTCAGCACAATACAAGCTAAAAATTTTAAAATTCAACTTTATCATATTAAGGGATGGTGTACCATATTGTGGTCTAATTAATGTGGGGCGATGGTTCATCCTGTAATCAGTAGGTTGCTGGTTCAACTCCTCATTCCTGATATCTCCATCATTGAAGACACTTACCTGCTGGTGATGGACAGAGGCCGGCTGTGGCTACTATTCTGTAGTTTGCTATCACCAGCATGTGAATGTGTAGGTGAATGACTGAGTGTAGCATGAAGCACTTTGGGGTCTTCTAGACTCGATAAAGTGCTGTACAAGTACCAGCTGTTTACCATTTACCATCAGTTTGTAACTCAGTGATACACAGACTGCAGTGCCAACCCAGCTCATCTATTACATAAATAAACAAGTAAATATGTTATGTCCATTTAGGTTCACATGAAGCAAACGCAGGCAGATTTTCAGCAGATGATCCAGGAGCGGCAAAAGAAGATTGAGGAGATAAAAAACTGTCTGAAGCTGAGCGCAGTAAGTGACGATGGAGGGAGTGAACCTCAAATGGGGATCCATTGACATTGCTCTAAATTTTTTTCCCCACTTTTATGTGATTTTCAAATACAAAATGACAACATTGGCTGCTGGTTATTGTCCCAGAGCCTTTTTGACCGCATTATAAATTGAGATATCCACAAAAGATATGCTTTAACCAAGACAAAGTATTGTGTTGAACAAAATCCTGCTCTAAACATTGCACCTTGGAGTTTTCCTTTAGTAAAAATTATATTTATTTCATTACTGGAAACTTGTCCAAGGTGAACCAAAATTAAAACTTGTATCTTACTACATTTCTTTAAATCAAGCGCTAACGTGTTTGGTGCTTTCCAGCTGAGTGCTGAGAAGGAGAAGAAGGCGAGCGACAGTCTCTTCACGTCGCTGATCAACTCGACGAAGGAGAGACAAGCCGAGGCTAATGCAGAAATAGAGGAAAGGCAGAGAGCGGAAGAGAAGAGGGCAGAGGAGCTGATCGGTGATCTGCAGCAGGAAATCGCTGAGCTGCAGAGGAGAAACACTGAGCTAAACGAGCTGGAAAACACGGACGACCACCTGCACCTCCTGCAGGTTAGCATCAACCTCAGACTGTGTTTTTTTTTTTTTTAGAACCTGGATATTAAAAAAACTGTGCTGGCTAATGTGACTGTCATCTGAAGTAGGTTTACTAGTGTGGGAACAGTCAAGAGGAAAGCACAGCATTTTGGTGATCATTTTTGATTAATGAACAAATTGTATTCATTTTTTTTCCTCTCGTCAGAGACTGCCCTCGCTTGTGTCACCTCCGCCTACCAACAGGGAGTGGACAGAAACCAGGATCTACCCTGAACTTTGCGTTGGAACGGTGAGGAGAGCGCTTTCCAGACTGGATAAAACTTTGAGGAAAGACCTGGATATCGTGAAGAAAGAAGGTAAGCTACACGCATCGTTACGGAAAAGAGTTTAAGGAGGATGAAATCACATCTGCGTAGGTTGCAGAGCCAATCATTTTCTATCATGTGTTCAAGGTAGCGAACTTTCCTCTGATTCTTTGTTCTACGTTTATAATACGTAAGCATGGCGCCATGAAAGACCCAAAACCAGGCAGCCATCTTGGCTGAATAATAATTTGCTACAACTTTAAATATTTTTAATTAGCTTTAGTTTAAAAACTTCAATCCACAAACACATACATGGTTGGCAGTTTGCTTTGTCTAAAGCATTTTGGCTGTATCTGGGCAACTCTGCTTTGTTGACAAAGAGATCCTCGAGATAATTTTAGTACCATAACATATTCAGTTGCTAATTATTTCAGAGTTTGTGTGCTCACAAAAAAATATATGCAAATATCATGTGGGAACGTTGTTTTGATCTAAAGCACAAGATTCAGATTATTTAAGCTATTTAGGCTCTCGCCTTGTTAGACCTAATAATGAGACGCTGGCGCTCTTTTTGCCCATAGCTGGTACAGTGGTTGATGGGTCCACACACTATGCACCTCATCTCTGGGGCCCACTGTTGCTCCGAGACCCCTTGCAGTTTGGCCTGGGAGTGTTCATGTACCCAGTTTCCGTGTGTGGCCACGAGGAGGCACTGCAGGGGCGTTTGGGGTGGAGAGGCTGTTTACTGGCAGGAGGAGAATCACACACCCTATTCCTCTTTTCGGCCCATGTCAAGGGACTAGCCAGTTGCAGTAGCTGAGTGCAGAAAGTTGCAATAAAGCAACTTTCTACAATTCCTAGAAGAATCTCTAAGCTACTCCAGGAGACGCTTCACACTCACCTGGTGTACACTCACATGTACACAAACACACACGTATGATTTTTTTTTTTTTTTTTTTTAATTGGGAGGAATGGGGTGTTAATTTGTTGTTTGGAATTTGCTATAAAGTTTTTTTGTTACCTATTGTGGGGCAGTTTTGGGTGATTTACACACAAACACATTTTTGGGGGGAATATAGGAGGTTGGATGGGTTTTTATCTTAATATTTACTTTTTTTTTGTTTGTGTTTTTACATTGGTCAATCACCCTAACTGATGTTTTTAGGAATGTGTGGGAAACCGGAGCACCCGGAGAAAACTGACACTAAATTTGTCTAAAATCTAAGTAGAGGGTTTGTGAATCGTTCAGTACTAACCTGGACACTGTTTTCTAGTTGCGTATTTTAGTAGTCTCCTGGCGTTTATCCCATTTTTGTGGTTTCCTGAGACTCAAAGTGTGTCATATCATTTTTCCCAACTGAAGCTTTTGGTTGAGGCCCCTGTTGTTGTTTCTATAAAGTGATTTAGCTCTTCGGGAGACACATCAGGTACCTCGATCTCCTCTGACAGGGTTTCCTCAAAGAGACGGACCAGATCCTTGGATGCCGGGTCAGAGATGTTGTTTACAGGGGCAGCGTCTTTCTCATTTGGTTCTTGACGCTTTGCCACTTTTCTTTTCGGAGGTCCTAACTCATCTCTTTCTTGAAGCTCAGTTTTCAGATGTTCCAGCTCCGTTTTGTAATCAGTCTCACAGCCGGAGTACAGTTGTTGGAAGGCAGCCAGTTGTTTTTGGAAATCATCCTTCTCGGCTCCAAGTTCGTTGATAATCTTGAGGTTGCTCATAATTTTCTGTAAATAAGCTTCCATCTCTTTCTCTATTCCCTGCTGGTGTATTGCATCTTGCTCTCTTAGAGCAGAAACATCTCCTTCATATCTGGTTTTAAGTTCCTGGTAAGAAACTTTGATCTGCTCCAGTTCACTTTGGAGATGTTTTCTTTCCTCTTTGGATTGCTGCAGGAAAGAGAACTCTTGTCCCATTTTCTGACTCAGATTGTCCTTTTCTGCTCTGAGTGCCTTGATAAGCAGAAGGTCTTTCTTTTCTCTTTCCAAATGCGCTTCTTTCTCATGATTCATCTCAAGCTGATAACTTTCTGCTTTCTGTCTCAATCCAGAAACATCTTCTTCATACCTCCATCTTAGTTCTTCAAACGAAACCTTAATCTGCTCTAGCTGACTCTGCAGACATCTCTCCGTTTCCTGCAGGCAGGCGATCTCCCTGGACATTTGTTCTTGGAGATTGTCCTTCTCTGCTCTCAGATTTTCAAAGAGCTTTTGGTCCTGCTTGAGTTTCTCTTCATAAAACACCTTTGTATCGACCTGCAGTTTCTCCTCACAAATGTCGGCTTCATATTTTAACTGAAGCTCCTCGTAGCGAGCCTTGATCTCGTCCAGCTCTTGTTGGAGGGTGTCGCTTTTCTTTTTTTCTGCCTGGATCTGTGACATAAACTCTTCCTCTTTGACAATATGAGAAACCTCCAGTTGCTCTAAATCCTGCTGCAACAGCATTTTCTGCTTTTGTTTTATGTCGCTGTGCACCTTGGAAGTGAGAACAGCAGGGCTGAGAGTCTCTGGATCGGTAAACTTCTCTACTGCTAGTGGTTCTCTCATCATCTCTTTGCCCTTGTTGATATGCTGATGATTTTTCTCCTTCTGCAACTCATATTTTATATTCTCCATTTCTCTTTGCAAGGAGGCTACCTTTTGGTTCTCCTCCATCCGTCTTGCTCTCGCCGTTTCCACGAGAGACCTAAGTCTCTGGGCCTCAAACCAGTCTTGGTGATTTGGTACGGCTCCCCAACGCCTTCTTATCGCACTGTTGGTGTAAAGTGGCCTTTGATGGGACATGCTGGACAAAACAACGTCTGTTCAGATTAAGCCTTGATCAACATTCAACTTCAAATACATTACATATAAATATACATATACATTCAAATACATTACATATAAAGAACAGTGATGATGACATCACAAATGACTGCCGTCACGACATCATAGAATTTGATGAGACTTTTGCAGATCAATCTTGGGTTGGCTTGACATTTCCGCTTCTAAACTGCAAAGTTTTTAGAATGTTGATGTGTGAAAACATCAACATTCAGGAAAACAGGATTTCATGGATTACGAATAAAGAGCTCCTTTAACACTCTGATTACCTGAAACAGTAAAATAATTGTTTAATTTCTTGATTTATTTATATTTTAATTGGGATTGACTAATGATTTATTTAAGGCTTTTTTTTTTTCTTTTTTTTTTTTTACATTTTTATTAGGAGTGCTGGTAAGTGTTCTTGGTTAGTATCATACCAAAAGTAAAAAGGTTTTCTCATGTTTTTTTTTTTTGTTTTTTTTTTCAAAAAGTTGTTAAACTTTGAAATGGCAAAAAAAAAAAAAAATTGTTTTGTCGGTGCATCATTACATTTCAATCTTCTTAATGTCCACAAACAATTTAATTGTCTACTGATTTAAAAAAGTATTTAATAAAGTTTTTTTTTCTTTTGACAGAGATGAGGAGGATGCAAAAATATGCAGGTATGAACACAAATCTGTTTTTCTATTAATTTTATTAATGAATCCCAAAATGAATCTTCTTTATATCCTACTATACTGGTAGTATGTCTCTTGCTCATTGAAATAACCCACTGTTCATTTTTCTTGAAAGCCTCCAATTAAATATTTTAAGTTACCTCATGCCTTTCAGCTCGTTTTTACCTGATTTTAAAGACCAACAATGTGAACTACAGATTAGAACAGAAGAACATGTACGGGAATTTTACATAGTAGTCTCTCGTAGGTTTCAGACTCTTTCAGGTAACCCGTGATACTGATGATTGTGATGATAAACGTCGAGTATACTGATCGTCTGGAAGTAGACGTAACGTTTTGACCCGTGTGTCCACAGTGGATGTGGTGTTGGACCCAGACACGGCCCATCCAAACATCGTCCTGTCCCCTGACGGAAAGCAGGCGGGCCGAGGCGAGCTGCTGCACATTGTTCCTGACATTCCCCAACGCTTTGACCCAGTTATCTGCGTTCTGAGCAAGAAAGGCTTCCGGTCTGGAAGGTTCTACTTTCAGGTAGATCGGTTCGATCAACCCAAAGCGACGGCAGGCCCCCGTGATGACACACCAATGCTCAAAAACTTGTTCTGCTAACTAGGTTGCGGTTGGAAATAAGACCTTCTGGGACCTGGGCGTGGTCAAAGAGTCCATCAACAGGAAGGGCATGATCACCTCCACCCCGGACAACGGCTACTGGACGGTGCGTTTGAGGAACGCCAGTGAGTACCGGGCCCTGGACTCCCCCTCCGTCCTGCTTCAACTCCAGAAGAGGCCCAAGACCATCGGAGTGTTCACAGATTATGAAGAAGGGGTGGTTTCGTTCTTTGACGTGGATGACAGATCGCACATCTACACCTTCACCGGGTGTTTGTTCTCAGAGAGGATTTTCCCTTTCTTCAGCCCAGGAGTTTTTGACCACGGGAAAAACACAGAGCCGCTGATTATCACAGCTGTCAGTCACGAAACTTGAAAAGAAACCTTTAATTGAGTTAGGCAGCACGTTTTGTACACAACAGAGTGGTTTTCTTTCTTCTACTCTATTTAATAAAGGATGTGTATAGAATATGGAGGTGTTCATTTTGGATCAAATGTGAAGCAAAACAAATCTGGTTTAAGAATCCAATTTCAGTGACGGCTGCTAGTTTAACAGAAAACTGATCAATCTCGGGTTGGCTTGACATTTCCGCTTCCAAACTGCAAAGTTTATGCTGACACATAAACTAACAAACCAAACTCAGTTAAAAACGAGATCATTATTGGAATATTATTGATGTCTTCATCAATATCCTCTGTCAGTCCTCCCTGTGGATGCAAACAGTGACCAGTAGAGACGAACAGCTAAACAATGACTTAGTAAAATGATGAATGGCATGAACCATTAATTCTGATATCCTTGGTGAATGTTCAGATTTTATTTTTACGACATCATCATTGACCCTTGAATATCCTTAATCTAATTATCTTATTTCACTCAAATGTTCTACGTTCATTTTAAGCTTTGTGCTTCAAGGGGCACACCGCCTTCATCGATTATTGTCACCACCAGTAAAATAGATAAAAAGTCGTAGAATAAATTTCTCTTTTATGATCTTTTTATGATTCTATTCCAGAAGAAACAGACTTGTGTCATGTTTCGCACTCCATGGGAAACAGGAAGTCGGGCACTACGACTCCAAAGCTCTGAGATAGTTTTATCCACTCAAGAGTGTATAAACAGAAAAAGTTTTAGTTGCGTTTCCTTTACAATAATTGTCTGCGGTACCAGTAACTGTGGCATCATTGATTACCCTACAAGAAACCCAAATTCAAAATACAAATCATCTTGTAAATTTTCTGCATTGTGTCCATTGTGTCCACCCTGGACAAGCTTGTGTCCAGGGTGGACACATAGGTTGATGGACAGCATGTGACTCTATAGTGTTCCACAGACTATGTGAATTTGTCTGAATCAATATTGGATGGAAAATTGTAATAATTTATGTAATAAAGTGCTTCTAAAACCTGAGTGGTTTGCAGTTTTGTCTGATTTACAGGTTATTTTGTCTTATTTGTTTCAACCGTCTGTGATGGATTAATCATTTTTGTCAATTATTAAAACCCCTCTACTTTGTGGACAAAATTAGAGATTACTATTTTTTTTTTATAATCACTCATTTTGTAATTACTACAAAATGAGTGACTACTATGTTTTTTTTTTCTTAAGATAGACTTAACAACACCAAGTCTCACAAATCATTGTAACTTCCAAAACATTTTTGCATTTACAAAACTCGTAATTTCTCAGGTTCAGTAAAATATTTGTGTTAAAATATTTAGTGTATAGTTTTCTAAGATTTTTAGCTCATTTAGTGAATTTTATAAATTCACTTTTAGACATTTGATTAGTAGCAATCCCAGAAAATACAGGAGAAAACGACTAACAAGTGCAACAGCGCTTCCTTGTGGACAGAAGAAGAAACTTCTTAAAGATGTTAAATAGGAAGAGCGGAATTTGCCTTCAAGTCTTTCTTTCACGTTCCACTGTATGGCAACAGTGTTCAATTCCCGACATGATGCATAGCTGTAAAGGTATAAAAATACAATAACATCCTGTTGCAACTTTAATTTAGTCATTATTTTTGTCACTTTTATAGCTATTTTTTTTAAATAATTACGTGAGAAATAAATAGATGCAGATACTACTTGCTGTATCTTGTCTGTCAGTTAATAAGTAGTGTAAATAGTTATGACGTCCGTCTACGTTTATTTGTACCGAATATGAAGAAATTAACTTCATTTCTAGAATAGTAATGGAAATTATGGGACCACCAGACCTTATAATGCCAAGTATATTTAGTTAGCATTTATTACGGAGCAAATTAAACATTTATAAATGCTGTAGCCAATATGACACATTCTCTGTTAAAATAAATTTCCAAATAAACGTCAAACTCTGGAAACGTTCAATCTTTGGGTGCAGTTTCAACATGTGACCTCAAGAGGCAGTCGAGTCCCCTAGTCTTCAGGCGTCTTGTACGCAGGCGTAAGGGAGGAAGCAACTTCTCTTCAACATGGCGGCGACCATGGACAACAGCAATGCCGTACAGGCGACAAAGAAAAAGCACCTTGGGATCCCCGAAGCGGTGTTTGTGGTGCGTAAAGCCGAACTTTTTTCACTGCGCCGCTTGTGTGCAGTACAGTTTAATGTGTTTCTGCCAGTCCCTGATACACAGGGGGCGTTTTAGCGGCTAGGAACCTGTTAGCTAACTAGCAGCTCTAGAGCTGGCAGAGAGTTGATGATCCCGCTGTGTGTGCAGGATGGGCGGCTACTTGCTTCCATCTATGGTCATTACTGTCTGAATGATGTGGGCTTTTTCTGTCTTCAGTTACTCCTGGTTTATTTTACGGGCTTTTATGTTTTTCAGCTGGTCTCTGTAACTTGGCGTAGGTTTAGTGCCATTAACAGGCCTCAGTTTCCCACTTTGAGGTTTTGCATAAAGCATTAACTGATACACCTTAGCTTCAAATATAAATAATGATCATGTCTGAAAGACTTCCGCATAATTAAAATAAGTCAATAAAATATTTAATACGCTGCTACATAATGGTTAACGAAAGTTTTTTTGTTTTTTTTTTCTCTCTCAAAATTCACTTTGTCACAGTTGTTTAGCATGAAATGATATTGCACAAAAAACCGCTACATTTTTCGATATGTTGCAAGTTTTCAGATGCGGAACAGAGTTGGTGAGGTATAATTTGTCTTTTAAAGAATATGTTGATATTGTTTTTAGTTGTTTAATTTGTAGAAGTGCATTTTACACACCACCTGAAGGATGTTACTGCTTTTATTATGGCACCCCAATATTAGAAACATTATACGACGGTTATTTTTAAGCATTGCGATAAATTAAATATTTTTTTATCATGGCAAAAAACATCACAATTCCAATTATCTCGGGTCCATAATGTGTGCCAGTTGTTGGCACGAAAAGCGAGAAGCAGAGTCTGTGGCATGCATCCTTAAAAAGTCAAAATTAAGGCCTTAAAGTGTCTTAAATTTATTCTAAAAATGTAAATTGTAAATCACAGGTCTTTAAAGTTTGTGATAAGACCATTTTCTCATATTCTACAGAGTTTATTCCCGGTGTCAGGCAAATGCAGACATCTTCATTCTGTTTTGTGACTTGAAGTGGTTGAGGCTACCGCTAACTAGCTGCTAGCATACCCCTGCTTGCTAACTAGCTAGCTTTTTTGCGTTCATCTAAATTGTAAATTTCTCGCTGGTTACCTGGATGATGTAAGTCTTTGCCACTGGCTCACTTCTGTTGCCAACCCATACGATGTTGCATCTGTTATCACTACTGCTATACACAATATGTTATTTTCTTTTGTACATCTCTGTTGTGATACAGGATTTAAATTTAATTCATAATGGTTTTAAAAAGCCATTAAATTAGACTCTGTGAGACCTACAGAAACTCTTAAAAATGTGAATTTACACTACAAATTCATCAGGATTCTGTTTGCTGAACAGCATCACTTTGGCTTTGACCATCATGAGAAGAAACCGTCAGTCTGCCTATGGAGGAAGAGATCATCTGCTTACTCTAGCTCGTTCAGCATCTGTGGCGTGTTTCACAGGAGGACGTCGACTCGTTCATGAAGCAGCCCGGCAATGAGACGGCAGACTCGGCGCTCAGGAGGCTCGACGAACAGTACCAGAAATATAAATACATGGAGCTCAACCTGTCTCAGAAGAAACTCCGGTAACATAAAAAAATAATAATAATAAACTCTTAAAAAGTTCATGTATTTAAACGTTGTGTTCGTGCTGGTGCTTGAAATCCTTGAAAGTGCTTGATTTCTTTATAAAGTCCTTGAAAGTGCTTGATATTCAAACTGTGGAGTTTTGCATTAAAGTTCAGTCTAACATTTGATTAAAAGTTTAAATTTAGAAAGCGTCATCTACAGTCGAAACCAGATATTTAACGATAATATAAGGACACATTTTTATCTCACTGTCTGAAATTAAATCAAACCAAACTTCTCATGTTTTAGGTCAGTTAGAATTTCCAAAATAATTTCTATTTGCTAAATTTCAGAAAACTGAGCAAGGACATTTTTTAGAGATTTTTTTGCAACTTTCTCAGACCAATCTGTAACAGTCTGTTCCTGTAAGAGAAACATTAGAAAACAGAAAGTTTTGCGATATTTTAGTTTATTTTGCTGCAGAATGCAGAATAATGTGTATAAATTATATGGTATGTAATAGTGAATTGAAGCTGTTTTCATTAGTACATTTGTATTTTTATCTCTGCTGGAAAAGTTAAAAAATAAAAACTTACCTTGAAAATGTTTGAAAAGTTCTTGAATTTCCCTGTGGGAAAGTAGTACAGAGCCTGTAAATAAACAGTTACTAAAGTTCACCACACTAACAGAATATGTAGCTTTTTATTTATATAACTTCATAATTTGTCTCTTACTAATATGGTTTCATATCTTTGGTGTTTTGTTAGAAGCCATACAGTTTCCTTTCATTTCTTAACCAGTTTCAGAGGTTTGCCAGATATTTTAGAACCAAACAGTTGCTGCTGTAATGCAACGGTTTCTTGTTTTCTGCTCACGTAGGTTGAAAAACCAGATCCCACAGATCACCCAGACGCTAGAAATCCTCCGACACATGCAGAAGAAAAAGGTGGGTAGTCTGCTTAAAGAAGCCTCAGTGTTTAATCTGTTGCTTTATTCCTGTATAATTATATTATCATGTAAGAAGCAACAAGTAGAACATGAGCGTTGCTGCTTGTTCTGGTTCCTACCGAGTCTGGAAAATTCTAGAATTTGACAAAGTCTGGACAAGTTTGGGAAAAAAATCGGAGTATTGAAAAAAAAAATAGTTACATCTGTAGACTTTATTGGTTTACCTATTGTCTAAAAGTCGTATGCGTTTGTCTGTCCATCTGGACACTGTTTGCTTATCAGTCTTTGTCCCTCCCGTCTTTCATATTTTCAGAGGGACCCTTAGTATTTCTGCTTTAATGGCCAGAAGAGGCTCAGATAATCAGAGAAACTTAAAAAAAAAAAAAAAAAAAACACTTGCTCCTTGATGGAAATATTAGAGGCTACAGCTGCAACTATCGGTTATTTTCACTGGAGGGCTGATTTGGTGATTATTTCTTTAGATCAAACGAGTACAAAATGTATAACTAAAGGCGTTCATGATTAATCAATACTACCGATTAATCATTAAATCCAGTCAACGATTAATCGAGTTTATGGACGATTATTTCAATAATCGATTTATCTTCTTCTGTGTTTCTATACCTTTTTTTTTCTATCACTACAGCTGGTAGCTCTGATAGTCACCTTGTCAGGTTTGAAATCTGTAAATGTTTGGTGACCATTAGGACAGTAGATAAGGCAATAAGGCCATTAAAGACATGATTCAACATGAATGATTTTTCCTGCTTTTTTCTTTCCTTATTTTTATGTCCCTTTTTCTTAATCTCTATTTATGTAACATGATGTAGCAGCATGATGTCCAATTCTATGTTTTTTGGTTGGTGAAAATACAAAATTGATAAAACTGTGTTTAAAAATGCGTATATAATCGATTCATCGTGTTTAATCTGATTAATCGTTTCAGCTGTATTAGAGGCCTGTTGAATTAAAGGGCTGCACCTTGTTTTTCTTCAGGAAACCACAGAGCCAATGGAAACGCACTTCCTGCTGGCCGACAACGTTTACTGCAAGGCCTCCGTGCCGCCCACTGACAAAGTTTGCCTATGGTTAGGGGTGAGCGTGGGCTTTCAGTTTGATTTAAATTACATTTATCAACCTTTGAAAGTAAATTATCTGGATCACTGATTATGTCTTCTAATGATTTCTCCAACGCTTCTCCTCAAAAGGCCAACGTCATGTTAGAATACGACATCGACGAAGCCCAGGCTCTCCTAGAGAAGAACCTGTCCACAGCGTCTCGCAACCTGGAGACGCTGGAGGAAGACCTGGACTACCTGAGAGACCAGGGGACCACCACCGAAGTCAGTATCCTTTAAAAAAAAAAAAATAAACAAAGCAGTCCATCATGACTGAGCTATACCAAGGTTTGGCCACTAGATGTCACCTTTTCTGGAGAAGCATTCTCTAATTAGTTTGTTGAAATGTCGAGTACCCAAAAAAATGTAGCACTACTTCAACTTATTTTTACTCAAAGTAAAAAGCAGCCCTCTGAGAAATGATCTTCTGAAACTTTAACAAAAACGTCAGGTCTGTGTTTGGTGAATTGTTGGTTAAAACATATTTGTTCTTCACTCAGTGGGTCGAGAATCCAGAAAGTTTACTCAAGAGTAGCGATAATAACATAGCTCAAGTAAAGGTCAGCGAAGTCCAAATACTCCTAAAAGTAAGTTTTCTCAAAAATGTTACGCAAGTAAATGTAATTGAGTAAAAGTAGCTAGTTACTGCACAACTCTGGGATCACCAAATTTCCGGCTTTACAGAGGAGAAGCATAACATGTATGGTATCAATAGTCCTGGAAAGTCAAATCAACAGTTCCCAGCAGGCAGATTTTCTCCCTATAGACTTTCTGTACTAAATCTATATACGAGTTGCATTTAATTAAATTAATATTGGGTTTTTTATGATCTAGTTATTAGGGTTGCACCTGAGACATGTTTTGAATTAAACACCTCTCGGTAACCCTCTGTGTGTTGGTGTTTCATCTTGACTTGTCGCTCCCTTCAGACATGGCGCGAGTCTACAACTGGGACGTAAAGAGGAGGAGCAAAGAAAACCTCCTGAAATCAGCAGCCAAGTCTTAATTAAACAGAACAGTGTCTATGTTCCCCCTCTGCTAACTTCCTCCTTAGTCATTAAAAGAAAAATAAACCCCGATCTGAAGTCATGCATATGTTGACCCCTCTGTGGCCCCCGGAGCTCGGCTCATGGAGGAATCGTCTGAAACGTTACTGGAAGTTTGATGCTGCTCGGGTCGAGCGTTTGTCATAGTTCAGTTTTTCCTCTTCGGCGTCTCCTCTATCAAGCCCAGCTCAAACTTCCACCACTACTGTTTTCTGTTGATTTTCTTTCTTTTTTTTTTTTTTTTTTTTTTTTTTTTTTTTTTTTTAAATTTTTTTTTCAAAAAAAAATAAAAAAAAAACAACCCCAACACGGCGATTTTTT